GTCACTTTACCCCACTCCTAGCATGTAAGCTCATTGAGCAGGGCCCTCAACCCCTCTTTGTTGGCGCTATATAAATAATAACATAATAATAACCCCAGTTAAAGCATTACATTTTAGTAGCTATCTAACAGCATCCCAGTTAATTAATTAACCTTGTCACTGCACATACAGATTACAAACAGCAAGTATAGAAACCATATACACACACACATTTCTGATAATGACAGCTTTTTGTATGTGAAGTATGCATAAAGATCCTTATATTGATGTGATCCTTTCTCTAATTCTTCCACCTGTACTGTATATTGTAGTCTGATGATTTATTTACATTTTATTTATTTTTCATTTGTTGCCTTATATTAGCACCCAATATATTTAATTGACCCCTAAACTTTACCGCATTACTCCAACTCATCACTCCACAGAACTTAATCCTACTGATTCAGTACTGTCTGTTCCTCAATAAACCAGGCCGAAAGCTCTAATGGAGACACTATGTGGCAAAACCATATTTTATTTACTTTCTTTAAGTCCTTTAGCATCTTAAAATACTGAATTTTTGTTATAGATTTGCCAATGATTGCTACAGTCTACAGTATCAATGCTTATATTCGCTGTTTCTCGCTGTAATAGTAATTGCTTGTGGCAAATGTATTTTGTAGCTATTCATTACAAAATGCGCAGTGTGGCAGACACCCCAATGGGAAGAGGGGTCTTGCCAAGTGAGATGTTCTTTTCCCCCCAGTTTAAGTAAAGCTGCAATAATCCTGGAAGCGATAATCCTAAAAAGCAGTGATAAAGCTGTTCCCTACAAGCACGAGACTAGGCTTTGTGTTGAGGGTAAAACTGGAACTGTTTAATGGAAGCCACATTTAGCCTTTTATGCAAGTCCCCATGCAAGGGGTTTCTGATGACTTACAGTGCCTTGCAAAAAGTATTCACCCCCTTGACTTTTTATCTATTTTGTTACATTACAGCCTTAAGTTCAGTGTTTTATTAATCTGAATTTTATGTGATGGATCAGAACACAATAAGTTGGTGAAGTGAAATGAGAAAAATATATACATAAAACAATTTTTTAGAAATAGAAAACAGAAAATTGGCATGTGCGTATTGTGATAAGGTGAATGGGGTCATCTGTGAGGGAGTTTATATTTCAAATGTATTGTTGAATGAATATTTAGTAATGGGCCCCTGGGGTGGAGCATTTGGAGAGCAGGGTGGGCCAGTGCTCCACTCCGCTGTTTATTGTTTTGTTCCTGGGAGACTAGGTCCAGACCAGGGTTTGGACTATCTCCAACCCACTGCTCAGCTGCAAGTAATCAGCTGCAGCAGTGGGAATAAACCCCTCCCTGTTAGACAGGTAGGAGAGAATGTTTGTTTCTCTCTGGAAGCAGCAGGCTGACTAAGCACTGGAGTGCAGAGAGCTGATAAAGACACTAGGTTGGTGAAACCAATATTGTTTTGTTATAGTTTAACCCCTGAGAGATAGGGAATCTGATGTTAGTGCTCAGACGAGCTAGGTTTTTGTTTATAGGGATTTGTGTTACATTATTGTTTTTTTTTTCATTTGCCACTGTCTCTGTGGTGAAGCTCAACAATAAAGTGCCTGGAATTAAGTTACTTTTAAAGACTGTGCATGTTTGTACCCAAAAGGACCGTGCTAACTGCAGACAAGGATCACAGTATGTATTCACCCTGTTTGTTATGAAGCCCATAAAAAGCTCTGGAGCAACGAATTACCTTCAGAAGTCACATAATTAGTGAAATGATGTCCACCTGTGTGCAATCTAAGTGTCACATGATCTGTCATTACATATATACCCCAGAGGCTGCAACACCTAAGCAAGAGGCACCACTAACCAAACACTGCCATGAAGACCAAGGAACTCTCCAAACAAGTAAGGGACAATGTTGTTGAGAAGTACAAGTCAGGGTAGGTTATAAAAAAAAATCCAAATCTTTGATGATCCCCAGGAGCACTATCAAATCTATCATAACCAAATGGAAAGAACATGGCACAACAGCAAACCTGCCAAGAGACGGCTGCCCACCAAAACTCACGGACCGGGCAAGGAGAGCATTAATCAGAGAGGCAGCACAGAGACCTAATGTAACCCTGGAGGAGCTGCAGAGTTCCACAGCAGAGACTGGAGTATCTGTGCATAGGACGACAATAAGCCGTACGCTCCGAAGAGTTGGGCTTTATGGCAGAGTTGCAAGAAGAAAGCCATTACTTTCAGCAAAAAACAAAATGGCACGTTTTGAGTTGGCGAAAAAGCATGTGGGAGACTCCCAAAATGTATGGAGGAAGGTGCTCTGGTCTGATGAGACTAAAATTGAACTTTTCGGCCATCAAAGAAAACGCTATGTCTGGCGCAAACCTAACACTAGACATGTGCAATTTGTTTCGGCCCGAATATGAATTCGGACGAATTTCGGGCAATTCGGGTACTTCCGAATTGCCGAGGTCCCGTAGTTCCGAAATTACCGAATTTCCGAAGTTCTGAAGTGCCGAAATTCCAAAGCACAGTGTTGCCTAAGTACTAATATACTTACCCAGTGAAGGAAGAAGAATGTTACAATTTTAAATAAAAAGTATACAAACATAGCCAGGATTCAGCTGTAAGCGTTTGCAACACTTACAACAATCAAGTAACATACATTCATATAAAATGTAAGTTACTTAGCCAGTCAATGTAATGACAGGAATTAATAAGTAGATAACTCCCTAATTCCCACAGTATCAGGGCGCTATCTACTAAAAGGCTGAAAGACCTAAATTGGTCTTTCAGTCAAATTTACTAATACTAAGTAAAGATTACTTAGTATTAGTAAATTATGCCCCTACTCACTACACTGCGAATATGGGCATGTCTAGTAAACAGTGAGCGCGAGTGGGGGCTTTTAAACTAAAGGGGGGACCTATTGCCCCCCCCCCGAACGGCGGATTGCAGCCCTAAATCAGAATAAGGGGGGGGACCTAATGTTCTCCCCCCCGGCCCCCACCCCTAAGCGGTGGGTGGGGGCCATACAGTAAAATAAGGGGGGGGGACCTAATGTCCTCCCCCTGGCCCCCACCCCTGAGCGGCAGGTGGGGGCCCAAATTGGAATGGGGGGACCTAATGTCCTCCCCCTTGGCCCCCACCCCTGAGCGGTGGGTGGGGGCCCTAAATACTAAGAAGGGGGGACCTAATGTCCTCCCCCCCTGGCCCCCACCCCTGAGCGGCGGGTGGGGGCCCTAAATAAAAAAAATAACCCCCCCCAGGTGACTAGGGGTCCCCAAACCCCTAGTCACCCCCTCCTCCCCCCCCCAAAAAAGTTAGCCCCCTACCTACCCCCCTCACCCTAAAAATAATGAAGGGAGGACCTTTAACTAAGTACCTGTAAAAAAAAACAAAAAACTTACCATTCGATGTTTTCTTTCTTCTAAAATCTTTTTTCAGCCCCAAAAATGCTGTGTAATTTGACTCATAACTCTCTGATTGGTTACTTAATCCACCAATCAGAGAGTTATGAGTCAAATTACACAACGTGGGAAAATTCCAAAGAACTTTCCCGCGCTGTGTAAAATGACACAGAGCACTCTGGTGGATTTCAAACCAACCAATCAGAGTGCTGTGACAGGTAAATGTATAGACTTACCTGTCAGTCTCTTCATTTACCTGTCAGAGCACTCTGATTGGATGGCTTAAACACACCAATCAGAGTGCTCTGAGCCTAATTGCAGGGCGGGGCAAGGCTTTATAAGCCTTCCCTCGCCAGGTGAAGATGGATTTTTGTTTTTTTTTGCACTTTTTTTTTTTTATTTTTTTTTTTTAATTGCGTCGGTTATTTTGGATTTTTTATTTGGTCTTTTTTGTGGCTGAAAAAAGAAGATTTTAGAAGAAAGAAAACATCGAATGATGTTTTTTTTTACAGGTACTTAGTTAAAGGTCCCCTCCTCATTATTTTTAGGGTGGGGGGGAAGGTAGGGGGTTAATTTTTGGGGCAGAGGGGGTGACTAGGGGTTTGGGGACCCCCTAGTCACCTGGGGGGTAACTTTTTTTTTTTTTATGTCCCCCTATTAGTATTTAGGGCACCCACCCGCCGCTCATGGGTGGGGGCCAAGGGGGAGGACCTTAGTTCCCCCCCTTATTAGTATTTGGGGCCCCCACCCGCCGCTCAGGGGTGGAAACCAGAGGGGAGGACATTAGGTCCCCCCTTATTAGTATTTAGGGCCCCCACCCGACGCTCAGGGGGGAGGACATTAGGTCCCCCCCTTATTCCAATTTAGGACCCCACCCGCTGCTCAGGGGTGGGGGACAGGGGGAGGACATTAGGTCCCCCCCCTTTTTCCAATTTAGGGCCCCCACCCACCGCTCAGGGGTGGGGGCCAGGGGGGAGGACATTAGGTCCCCCCTTATTCCAATTTAGGGCCCCCACCTGCCGCTCAGGGGTGGGGGCCAGGGGGAGAACATTAGGTGTGTCCCCTTTTTTAGTATTTAGGGCCCCCACCCGCCGCTCAGGGGTGGGGGCCAGGGGGGAGGACATTAGGTCCCCCCTATTAGTATTTAGGGCCCCCACCCGCCACTCAGGGTTGGGGGCCATGGGGGAGGACTTTTTTGGTATTTAGGGCCCCCACCCACCGCTCAGGGGTGGGGGCCGGGGGGGCAATAGGTCCCCCCTGTAGTTTAAAAGTCGCATGTCGCGGGTGGGGGCTCAGGAGGGGGGATCCTATTTTTTCTTTTTTCTTTTTTTTTTAACAGTGAGCAGCCACAGACTGCTCACTGTTTAATAGACCTGCCCCTACTCGTGGTATAGCGAGTAGGGGCATAATTTACTAATACTAAGTAATTTTTACTTAGTATTAGTAAATTTGGCTGAAAGACTGTAACGAGAATATACCCCAACACGCAGGATTCAGCTAAACAAAAGACAACACAGAGGAGAGCTACGTCTACCGGACCTTAGAATGGCCGGACTCGACGTATATGAGAGGAGACAGAGTCAGGAACAATCCGAAATCAAGGGCACAGAGAGACAGCGTAAACTAGGACAAGCCGGGGTCTGGTACACAGTAAACAACAAGCCGACAACCAGAACAGATAAGGATAAAGAGAAAACGTAGTCAGAAACAAAGCCAAGGTCAATACGGAGAAAACACAACTGAACACAACAAGCGCTAAAGGGAACTGATACAGAAACCACGATAGGGCAAGGAACAAAGGAAAGAAGGTGAGTATAAATACCTAAACATCTAATTTGATTGGTCCCTGTCACATCCACGCCCCCAAAAGGTAAGTGTATGGGGAGTGTGGCATGACAGGGACCAATGGGATGCCTTTTCCAATTTAGGCACCCACTGTCCCTTTAAGAGCGCGCCCGATACCCGCGGAGCGCTCTTAGAGTAGGTAGAACACGTGACCGCTACTAGTTACAGCGGTCGGCTGAGCCGCGCGCGGCTTGTGCAGCAGCAGGACCGCGCGCGGCTCGAACAGAGGACCCCGGCCGGCCCCTGGAAAGGGTAAGTACCGCTACATTACCCCCCCCTGAGGACACGCCCCCCGGGCGGGGAGGGCCAGGCCTGGCAGGAAAACGAGAATGGAAAGAGCGCACAAGACGAGGAGCGTGAACCGCATCAGCGGAAATCCAACTATGCTCCTCAGGCCCATAGCCCTTCCAATGCACTAGGTACTGAAGTCGGCCCCTAAGGAAACGAGAGTCAAGAACTGCAGAAACTTCAAATTCCTCATGACCCTCCACAGAAACAGGAGGGGGAGGAGGTGCATGTCGGGTGTAGCGGTTGCGTACGAAAGGCTTTAACAACGAGGTGTGAAAGACATTAGGAATACGCAGATTCTTAGGGAGACCCAAGGCATACGAAACAGGATTAACCTTATGCAGAATACGATAAGGACCAATAAAGCGGGGAGCCAACTTCATAGAAGGCACCCGGAGGCGAATGTTTCGCGTAGAAAGCAGAACCCTGTCCCCCACAACATAAGAAGGAGCCGCCCTGCGATGCTTGTCAGCCTGCACCTTCTGGCGAGCAGCGGAATCCACCAAAGAACGCTGAACCTGCTCCCAAGTATTACGCAAATTAGCCAAATGTTCATCCAGAACTGGCATGCCCTGTGAGGAGAAAGCAGCCGGAAGAACAACAGGATGTTGGCCATATACAACGTAAAAAGGACTCTTGCCGGAAGAATCATGAGTAGCGTTATTCCGAGCAAACTCAGCCCAAGGAAGAAGGTCAGACCAATTGTTCTGATGGTGGGATACGAAACAACGAAGGTACTGCTCCAGAGATTGATTGGCACGTTCGGCAGCTCCATTAGACTGGGGTTGGTAAGCGGAAGAAAATGAGAGAGAAATACCCATTTCCGAACAAAAGGCTTTCCAGAACCTGGAAATAAATTGGCTACCCCTATCAGATACAATAGATACGGGAATGCCGTGTAATCGAAACACCTCTCTGGCGAAAACAAGTGCTAGTTCCCTGGACGTGGGCAGCTTGTGAAGAGACACAAAGTGAGCCATCTTGGAAAACCGATCCACTATCATTAGGATAACTGTGTTACCATTCGAGGGAGGTAATTCAACAATAAAATCCATGGACAGGTTAGACCAAGGTCTCTCGGGAATAGGTAACGGATGCAACAGCCCACAAGGAACCCTACGAGAAGATTTCATACAGGCACAAGTAGTACAAGCACCTATATAGTCAGTGACATCCTTGCGTAAGGAATCCCACCAAAAATACCGAGAAACTGCTGACACCGTTTTGGAAATACCAGGATGTCCAGCAGTCTTAGTGTCATGATACAACGACAGAATCTCCCGTCTCTCGGGAACATCAACGAATAGTTTATCAGTAGGTCTCTCGCTAGGTGCCATGCTTTGTTTCGCTTGTATGGCCTGCAAGAGGGACGAAGAAATAGACAAAACAGTGGTAGCGATTATCCTTTCTGGGGGAATCACAGGAGTAACATCAATCTCCTGTTTGTCAGCAGTTTCGAACTGTCTGGACAGAGCGTCTGCTTTAGTGTTGCGGTCACCTGGCCTATAGGTGATAATGTAATTGAAATGGGACAAAAATAGTGACCACCTAGCCTGCCGAGAAGACAGTCTTTTAGCCTCACTAAGGTAGGATAAGTTCTTATGATCCGTAAATATGAGAATAGGATCTTTAGTTCCTTCTAACAAATGTCTCCATTCTTTCAGTGCTAAAATAATAGCAAGGAGTTCGCGATTACCCACATCATAATTCTTTTCTGCTTTGGACATTTGTTTGGAGAAGAAGCCACAAGGATGCAATGGTTTTTCAGGCGACTCTCTTTGGGATAAGACAGCACCTACCCCGATATCAGAAGCATCAACTTCAAGAATATAGGGCAGTGTGGGGATAGGGTGCTGTAAAATAGGTGCAGAAGCGAATGTGGTTTTAAGAAACTCAAAAGCCTGAAGTGCCTCGGGAGACCAGACACGAGTATTGCCTCCCTTTCTTGTCATACGGGTGATAGGCGCTACAATAGAGGAAAAACCTTTAATAAAGCGTCTATAATAATTAGAGAAACCAAGAAAACGCTGAATGGCTTTCAAACCTTGTGGAAGAGGCCATTCCATGACAGCAGAAAGCTTCTGGGGATCCATACGAAAACCTTTAGCGGAAATTAAATACCCCAAAAACTGGACTTCGGATTGGTCAAATAGACATTTTTCCAGTTTACAATAAAGACCATTAGCAAGAAGGGTCTTCAGAACTGTCGTAACATGCCTGTGATGAGTGTGTAAATCTGTAGAGTATATTAATATGTCGTCTAAGTACACAATTACAAATGTGTGAATAAAGTCTCTTAAAACGTCATTGATAAATTCTTGAAATACTGCTGGGGCATTGCATAGACCAAATGGCATAACAGTATACTCGTAATGGCCAGATCTAGTGTTGAATGCCGTTTTCCATTCGTGGTCTTTCTTAATACATATTAAATTGTATGCACCTCTAAGATCCAATTTAGTGAATACAGTAGCATGTTTGAGTCTGTCAAATAATTCTGTGATCAAAGGTATAGGATATGCATTTTTGATGGTGATTTTATTTAGACCTCTATAATCGATACACGGTCTTAAATCACCTTCTTTCTTTGATACAAAGAAGAACCCCGCTCCAGCCGGAGAAGAGGATCTCCTAATAAACCCCTTTTCTAATGATTCCTTAATATACTCCTCCATGACACGGTTTTCTTGAACAGATAAAGGGTACACCCTGCCCTTTGGAGGTATTGTGCCAGGCAATAAATCGATAGCACAATCGTAGGGTCTGTGAGGTGGTAATTTGTCAGCCTCCCTTTTATCGAAGACAGTTTTGAGAAATAAGTACTGAGAGGGTATAACAGTGGACAAAGGAGGAGTTGTAGGGACATTAATAGAATTCAAAGGGGTGACTTCAATAGTACAGGACTCATGGCAGGCATCGCTCCATGATTTTATTTGCCCTGACTCCCAATCAAAAATGGGATTGTGAGTACGTAACCATGGGTACCCTAACACAATGTGAGAAGAGGGAGATGTGATAACCTGGAATTGAATGGTTTCAAAGTGTAAAACCCCTGTATACATGTGTAATGGTACAGTTTCATGAGTAACAATTGGAGAACTTAATGGTCTACCATCTATGGCCTCAATGGCCAAGGGTATCTCCCTTTCTCTGACGGGAATGTTATTTTTCGTAACAAACTCAGAGTCAATAAAGTTCTCAGCAGCCCCAGAATCAACCAAGGCTAATATGCATTCTGCTATACAACTCACCCCCATATGAAGGGAAACAGGGAGAAGCAAACGATTAGGAGGCAATTTAGGAGACTTAGAGATCACACCCAAGGCCAGTCCCCTATAAGGTCTTAGGTGCGAGAGTTTTCCGGACGCAAAGGACATTCCCTTACCATATGGTCTCGCCTACCACAGTATAGGCAGAGTCCATTCCTTCTTCTAAGTAGTTTTTCAGTATCCGAGAGTTTGGCAACCCCTAATTGCATGGGTTCCTCCTCGGGTACTTTAACACTCTCAGGTTTATCAACTCTAGGGTTAATAGATGTGACCAGACGCCTATTCTTGTTTTTGGTATAGAGCCTGTCGCGAATTCTATTATCTATATCAATGAGGTAGTCAATAAGATCCTCTAATGGAATAGGAAGCTCCCTTGCCGCTACCTCATCTAATATAGTGTCAGATAAACCTTCCATAAACGCAGTAGTTAACCCATTATTGGTCCAATCTACCTGTGAAGCAAGGGTACGAAACTGAATAGCATAATCCGCCACAGACCTAGACCCCTGTTTAATCCTCATTAATGCTCTTGCGGCATTCTTTGACCTCTTTGTTGTGTCAAAAGTTCTACGAAAAGCCGCAAGAAAACTATTGAAATCATGAACCATAGGTCCATTGGCCTCCCAAATAGGATTTGCCCACTCTAGTGCTTTGTCAGTAAGTTGATGCATCAAAAACCCCACTTTAGACCTATCAGTGGGAAAGGAATGAGGATACATCTCAAGGTGGAATTCTATTTGATTAATAAAACCTCTGCATGTCTTGGCTTCCCCTCCATACCTAGGAGGAGGTGTTAAATGGGGCGAAGCATTGGTTGAATTGGATACTTCGGGAGGATGAGGTGTAGGAGGGTTAGGTGCGGTTGCAGGAATGGTTCTAGACAAGAGCGTCTGGAGAGCCTGTGCTATCTGATCCATACGGTGATCCTGCTCTACAAACCTTGCCTCGTGAGAAGCCATTTGCTGAGCCAAATCTGCGGGGTCCATGGCCCTATCGTAATGTAACGAGAATATACCCCAACACGCAGGATTCAGCTAAACAAAAGACAACACAGAGGAGAGATACGTCTACCGGACCTTAGAATGGCCGGACTCGACGTATATGAGAGGAGACAGAGTCAGGAACAATCCGAAATCAAGGGCACAGAGAGACAGCGTAAACTAGGACAAGCCGGGGTCTGGTACACAGTAAACAACAAGCCGACAACCAGAACAGATAAGGAAAAAGAGAAAACGTAGTCAGAAACAAAGCCAAGGTCAATACGGAGAAACACAACTGAACACAACAAGCGCTAAAGGGAACTGATACAGAAACCACGATAGGGCAAGGAACAAAGGAAAGAAGGTGAGTATAAATACCTAAACATCTAATTTGATTGGTCCCTGTCACATCCACGCCCCCAAAAGGTAAGTGTATGGGGAGTGTGGCATGACAGGGACCAATGGGATGCCTTTTCCAAATTAGGCACCCACTGTCCCTTTAAGAGCGCGCCCGATACCCGCGGCGCGCTCTTAGAGTAGGTAGAACACGTGACCGCTACTAGTTACAGCGGTCGGCTGAGCCGCGCGCGGCTTGTGCAG